TGGAGGCAGTGTTATGCTTTAGGCAATGTTTTGCTGGGAAACCTTGGGTCCTGTCATTCCTGTGGATGTTACTTTGACGTGTACCACCTAACTAGATGATGTTATTTTGACGTGTACCACCTAACTAGAGGTTGCTGCAGTTCCCATACGCCCCTTTATGTCAACGGTGTTCATTGATGGCCTCTTTTAACAAAAAAATGTTCATGAATGGGTTTAGGAACCATTGTCAAAGGGTTCAGGGTGCTGCCTTGGCTTCCAAACTCCCCATATCTCAATCCGAATGAGCATCTGTGGGATGTGCTGGAACATAAATCCAATCTATGGAGGCCCCACCTCGAAACTTGCAGGACTTAAATGATGTGTTGCTAATATCTTGATGCCAGATTCCATGGGACACATTCAGAGGTCTTGTGGAGTTTGCATCAATGCATCAGAGCTGTTTTGGCAGCATGAGGGGACTCACATGATATTATTGGTTACTTTTCTCACTTGGTCTGTGAGCCAAATGGTGGGAAAATCTAATCTTTATATTATGCATATATTTGACAGTATATTGATTGGTCAATATTTGACCCTTTTGGTTAGTCTTATTCATTCTCCCAAATATTTTTAGCATCTAAAATTCTGATAAGCCAAACTACCACAAGCACGAAATTTTGCTACGCCATTTTTTTTTGACAAAGCAGTTTGACTGAAACAAATTTTTCTGCTAAAACTAAAAAATAAAATAAACCCAACTGAATACATTGTGGAATATTTCTAATTCATTTGAAATAATAAAAGTTTGGAATGTTGCTCCAACTTACATAAACATTTTCCTTAACAAACTGAAGAATATTAAGACATTTTAAATATGATTGTCTTTGTCTTTCTGATGTGTGTTAAAAGGCAGTACCCAGTATATACAAAAATGGGTATATAGGTCGCGCTAAAGGGACAGGGAGGTAAAATAAATGGAATAAATAAAAGTGATAAAAAAGTCCCAAATAATAGATAAACCTGTGTTGTTCTTAGATGAATATACAGTCCAAATGGATATCTGAATCTTCTTATGTTGAAGATGTCTTGGAACGCTTGTCAATATGTAGATACATAAAAGAAATAAAAAAGAACTCCAATAGTGTAGGATGTCGACAAAATTTCCAGGTGTGGGTCTATAAGTAGGTAAAAAACTCACCTTGGCGTGAGCAAAAAAAACTTTGCTCAAGTATTCTTAGCGTTCAGTGGCGTCAATCCCCCACTGGTTGGATATAGGTGATGGAGTCCTGAGTAATTCCTCGATATGTAAAAAGATGAGAGACGTATATAGTGCTCACAGATTTATATAAAAACAAATAAAAATGGTAAAATACTCACATGTGTATGAGCAGGAACTACTGCTCAGTATGATGGCGCAGGTGGTACAATCCCCACCTTAGGATTCTTGGAAAGTGACGTGCTTCAATCCAAATCGGTGACCAGGTAATTCAAATTCAAATTAAAAATGGAAGGAATTAAAAATATATAGGCAAAAAATAAGAGCCGATATTCCTTTATTAAAATATAATATATCAATATATAAAACAAACTAATAATAGCCAAAACGCGTTTCACCACACAGGGCTTTATCAAATGGCATTTAAAAGAGAGAAAAACCTGGTACAATAGCTGCTTTTATAAACTAAAAAGATACAGATAGGCATTTGAATTTTGGCGCCAGAATGACGTCACTCATACAATATGCATAATTTGAAACAATTTAAAAGTGAGAATTTAAGATATAGAGGCATTTTATAATGCAATATAAAGATATTTGTCAATTTAAAATAGTAAAACGAGCATTATTAACAATGTTATACACATGTAAATATGATGTCACTAAGGAACATATAATCGCAATTTATGTATGTTCAAAAGTTAAAATTTAGGATATAAAAACATAAATAAAAGGGGTATAAAGATGTCTCTGGGCTTTAAATAATAAAACGAGCGTTCGATTCCGGTCTCCCAAATAAATTTTATACTAGAGGGTATTCACATGATTTTAACCAATAACTATTTTTGATTTTATGATTCTTTTTATATTCAAAAAAGGCACAGCTATGGGAACCAGGTTTGCCCCTAGCTACGCTAACCTCTTTATGGCTGATTGGGAGTCATCGGCCATTTGGGGTGATCACAGCTGGCGGGCAAACCTGGTCGCATATTTTTGTTATATAGACGATTTATTTTTTATCTGGCAAGGTTCAGAGACCTTTCTTAAGTTGTTTTTAGAATTTTTAAACAATAATGATAAAAGTATAATTTTAACCTCAAATTATAGTAAGGTATCTATTGATTTTTTGGATCTTAACATTTTTATTCATGAAGGTAATATTCAAACTAAGACCTTCTTTAAAGAAGTCTGTACTAATACCATCATAGATCATACAAGTTGTCATTATAAACCCTGGTTAGATGGGATTCCAAAAAGTCAATTTCTTCGTCTTCATCGCAACTGTTCTCTATCAAATGATTTTAAAATTCAATCTATCTCATTGAATAGTAAGTTTTTAGAAAAAAACTATGAACCAGAAAAATTGAATGCAGCATTAAAAGAAGTTACTGCAAAAGAAAGAAAAGACCTTTTAGTATATAAAGCTACAAAGGAAGACCCCCCAAAATTGCCTATTATCTTAGATTTTAATAAGAAAAATAAAGATATAAAAAAAATCATTAATAAACATTGGCACATTCTTAAACAGGACGACCTTTTAAAAGACTGTATCTCTGATAAACCAAATGTGATTTTTAGAGGGGCCCCAAACTTTAAGAAAATTCTAACAAAAAATTATACTAAAATTACCTCATCAAAGGAGAATTTTCTGTCAAAACCAAAAGGTTTTTTTAAATGTAACAAATGTATTGTATGCAGATCCACAAATCCAAATACCAATACTAAAATGACTCATTTCTCTTCCACCATTACCAAAACTATGTACCCGATCAAAGACTTTATAGGATGTAACACTAAAAATTTTATTTATTTATTAGAATGTCCATGTGGTTTTCAATATGTTGGCATGACAACAAGGTGTTTAAAGATTAGATTGGCAGAACATTGTCGCAATATCAAAAAAGAATATGACAACCATTCAGTGTCTAAGCACTTTTTATTTCACAATAAAGACCCCAGTGTTCTTAAAGTTACTGGGATAGAAAAAGTTTCCATGCCATGGAGAGGAGGAGATATGAAAAATATTTTGGGAAAAAGAGAGATGAATTGGGTTTTTCAATTAAAAACCCTATCACCCCAAGGATTAAATGTAGAATTTGACCTTTTTAACTTTTTATAAAATTTCCCTTTAAAATTATGTATTCCATTATTTATTTATTTATTTATTTATTTATTTCACACTACTCTCCTAATATCCCCTTTTTTTACATTACATCTTTTTCATTCATTTACTTTTTTTTTTGAGTTTTGTTTATTTTCAATATATATATTTTTCATTTTATTTTTCATTTTGTACTTTGTTACATATATCATATATTATATACATTTTTATTTATATATATATTTTTTTTTTTATATTTATACTTTTTTTATTTATGCAGGATGTTTCTTGCAGCAGCCCCTCTTTTGCCTCTCTTCCCCTTTCTTTTCTCCTCCTCTCCCTCCCCCTGTTAGGTCTCTGTATGCACGAGGGGCTAGCTTTCTAGCCCTTATATGCCTTCTGCTGTGCATGAAGCCGAGAGACGGGCGGAATATTTCTGCGCCGATCTCTCGACTTCGGGCATACATTTCCCACAATGCCTAGTTCCGATCACGTGATCGCGTCTAGTCGCGATCACGTGTTTCCTTATATATTATTTACAAAAACGCTCGTTTTATTATTTAAAGCCCAGAGACATCTTTATACCCCTTTTATTTATGTTTTTATATCCTAAATTTTAACTTTTGAACATACATAAATTGTGATTATATGTTCCTTAGTGACATCATATTTACATGTGTATAACATTGTTAATAATGCTCGTTTTACTATTTTAAATTGACAAATATCTTTATATTGCATTATAAAATGCCTCTATATCTTAAATTCTCACTTTTAAATTGTTTCAAATTATGCATATTGTATGAGTGACGTCATTCTGGCGCCAAAATTCAAATGCCTATCTGTATCTTTTTAGTTTATAAAAGCAGCTATTGTACCAGGTTTTTCTCTCTTTTAAATGCCATTTGATAAAGCCCTGTGTGGTGAAACGCGTTTTGGCTATTATTAGTTTGTTTTATATATTGATATATTATATTTTAATAAAGGAATATCGGCTCTTATTTTTTGCCTATATATTTTTAATTCCTTCCATTTTTAATTTGAATTTGAATTACCTGGTCACCGATTTGGATTGAAGCACGTCACTTTCCAAGAATCCTAAGGTGGGGATTGTACCACCTGCGCCATCATACTGAGCAGTAGTTCCTGCTCATACACATGTGAGTATTTTACCATTTTTATTTGTTTTTATATAAATCTGTGAGCACTATATACGTCTCTGATCTTTTTACATATCGAGGAATTACTCAGGACTCCATCACCTATATCCAACCAGTGGGGGATTGACGCCACTGAACGCTAAGAATACTTGAGCAAAGTTTTTTTTGCTCACGCCAAGGTGAGTTTTTTACCTACTTATAGACCCACACCTGGAAATTTTGTCGACATCCTACACTATTGGAGTTCTTTTTTATTTCTTTTATGTATCTACATATTGACAAGCATTCCAAGACATCTTCAACATAAGAAGATTCAGATATCCATTTGGACTGTATATTCATCTAAGAACAACACAGGTTTATCTATTATTTGGGACTTTTTTATCACTTTTATTTATTCCATTTATTTTACCTCCCTGTCCCTTTAGCGCGACCTATATACCCATTTTTGTCTATCCTATTCCATGTGAGGCTTGTTGAGGGACCTCATTCCTATAGGTTGCTGCTTTTACACTTTTATTTTAGTTTCTTTTAGATTATTTAGCGCTGAACCATTATCTTTTTGTTCTAGTACCCAGTATATCCCTGCTTGAGGATTTCTGGCTCACACTTAGTACTGTAGAACAAATTGAACATTACATTCATATCACATATTCATAAATTTCATTTGTAAACACAAACATCATTACTGAATAAGGTTTCAAACCGATTTGTATAGTAAACCAAATCCTCCTCTGCAGCAACTATACTTCCAATCATTGTCAACTAGGTTTCTCAGCAAGTGAAATGCATAACATCATCTTAGATTAAAATGATACTCTTTCTTGTAATATAATAGCAAACCTCAGATATTTTGTTTTCTTTTATATAAAAAAAAACAAAACATATTCTGGAGTCCTTCTAAAATGCCAATCTCAAACTAATGTTAGCCTAGTGGATACAGATTAAAGGCTCAGCAGAATTACAGCAGCCACTCTTTTTTTCTATAGGCCTTTAATTTTATGCAGGCTCATAAAAATAAAAAAAGATATTTACATGTTTTGTTCATTATTGTGATTCAAAAAAAATGGTTTAGAAATCAGGCTTCTGCATAAGCCTCTTTATACTGCACTGTTTCAGTCTATGTCAATGCAAAAATAAAGATAAAAAAAAAAAATAGCGTAGAGACAAAAACCGAGCACCACTCATCCATATATTACGAGTTGTTATCCCAAAATATTTTTTATTTAATTATTAAACTTATTTATTTTATATATAGCTTTTATCCTGAGTATCTTAAGTACAGCCCAACAACCATTCACCTTAAAGGACCACTCTAGGCACCCAGACCACTTCAGCTTAATGAAGTGGTCTGGGTGCCAGGTCCTTCTAGGGTTAACCTATTTTTTCATAAACATAGCAGTTTCAGAGAAACTGCTATGTTTATGAATGGGTTAAGCCTTCCCCCTAATCCTCTAGTGGCTGTCTCATTGACAGCCACTAGAGGCGCTTGCGTGCTTCTCACTGTGATTTTCACAGTGAGAGCACGCAAGCGTCCATAGGAAAGCATTGTAAATGCTTTCCTATGCGACGGGCTGAATGCGCGCGCAGCTCTTGCCGCGCGTGCGCATTCAGCCCAGGAGGAGGAGAGAAGGAGGAGAGCTCTCCGCCCAGCACTGGAAAAAGGTAAGTTTTTAACCCTTTCCCCCTTCCAGAGCCGGGCGGGAGGGGGTCCCTGAGGATGGGGGCAGCCTCAGGGCACTATAGTGCCAGGAAAACGAGTATGTTTTCCTGGCACTATAGTGGTCCTTTAATGTCATTTATAAATTATTTTTTTCATTTATTTGAGCATTGAGCTTCATATTTGACATATGTGTTTTATGTCCTTTCTTAAAGCCTGCTTCAATATATTTTATTGAGAAAAATAAAATGTAAGTTCCTTATCTGATCATCTACCATCTTTTCTACAAAATTACACATTACCCTTTATTACATGTTGTTTGTAACTTAAATATACATAAAACAAAAATTTGTGTAGGGCTAAGGAGATAAAAGAAAACTTAAAGAAGTCTACATAAAAAAATAAAGGCTTGAAAACAATACTATACCAACTAGCATCATTTTACTTTATAATTAATATACTATTTACACAGTGTAGGAACCTGGACTGTCCACTGCTCTATATGGGAAACAATATTATAATGAACAGATGTGTAAACATCTCTTGATTTTACATAATAATCAGTCGTTATAAAGGAAATTGATAAGTGTCTCTCTACTTAGAATTAATGAGATCTGAAGTACATGCTTTGACCTCAGACCAGTATTGCTTTTTTTATTTAATGTGCATATTTTATTTAATTTACAATGGGAAATAATAATTTTCTTGAAGTTTATTTCCTGTGAAACAAATTTGAAATGTTCAATTTGTAAATATCACTATTTAGAGCTCACTGTTTCAAAAGATAATGTAAACTGTTAGAATATCTCACCATATTTATTGAGAAAAATGTTCTGTACGTCTGACATTATTTTCAATTGTTCTGTACTGATCTAATTTCAACTGATTAGGAAAACAAAACATTTGTTTCTAAGCAAAAAACAAAGAATAGAGTTAGCGCTATTATATCAGAAAGAGATACAAAAGGCAGCAATCCCAAACAAGGACTCCCTCACGTGTCCTTGAGATAAATACAGAAAGCAAACAAACAAAAGGATGGGACTGCGCCAGTGAACAAATTTAGTGAAATAAAAAAGTCCTGGTTGAGTTAGGAATATTGAAATAGAGTCCAGTATAATGAAACTTTGGTCTTATGTTGGTCTCTGAAGTTGTAGAATTTCGCTCCTTACAGGTATATGGAGGAGGGCGTTGAATGATGAAAATAGTGGTGGTAAAGAGTCATCCAAAAGGTATCCAAATAAAATAGAAGAGATAATACTCACTTTTTGTAGAGCTTATTCCAGCTCTGGTATGAACAAGCTTGCACTCTCTTACAGTAATATGGAACCCAAAAGGCTTTTTTGCTTTAAACTTTTTTAATGTGGTTAACAAGCACTGGGAAGCCAACACACATTTAACCCTTGCATTGCCACAGTTTTCTAGCTATTTGCTTGTGTGCTGCTAGTGATACCAGCGGGCAAGTAGTTTGGATTTTTGAAAAACCTGGTCCACATTAGACATCCAGCAGTATTTGATTTGATTGAAATCCAGACCAAATTCAGGGTTGTTTGAAGCCTTGTCTGTTAAATCTGGACATTGTTAAATAGCGTGTCTGGTTTTTGCAGTCTGAATTGCCCTGTATGCAGCTAGATGATTTTGCTCTGTTCAGTAATGGTCCTGGTCCATTTAAACTTTAGTGAACAACACTATTAATATCTTGTAATGCTATTCCTAATTTCACTGTCTTTAGTAAGTGTATCATTTGTTTCCAAGTAGCTCTGTATACAATGACATTAGAAGGAGCTTACAATTACATTACATAACTGGTCGCAATAACTTGGTAAAACACCAAGGTGCCAATGAGAGAACGAAGGACAGGCAAGTAAATCTCCATCTAAAGGAATTGTAGGAAGTTCCTGGACTCTATGACAATCAGATAAAAATAGATAATACACCCAAAAGTGGTAACACACACAAATACCTAAAATAATGTATTGGAATCAAGTCGAGCAGGGGGATCTAGAAAATAACAAAGCCAAACATGGCCGAAGGCTGAAAACGAGGTTTAAAATGCATGGAGGCCAGGAGAAGGGGGCCCAAAGGAGCTCAGAGTACAGTGGAAATGCCTCAGAGTAAGTCAGGTAGGCACAGGAAGGTCACAAGACAACAGGCAAGGATAGCAAAACACAGACGTATATAAGAAAATTCAGATATGCTCTAGAAGGAAAGTCAATAAAGGCAAAGAGGCAATAGACAACCTAGAAGGGCATATATAAAGGTGTAAAGAAAGAGAGATGCACAATATGAACCTCTGTGTCTTGAAATAAAATTATAAATCCTAAGCTGTATAGAACAAATATACACTGTGTAATAAGCTACTGCAGGGGAAAGTGACATTATATCGGAAATATAGATTTGCCTTTTAGACAAGTAACTGTTAATAATGTGTAATTGAATGCAGTTAGATGCAGCTAGAAAAGCATATACATGTAATGCAGCTAGAAAGGTATTGTTTTCTAATCAAGAACAATTTCTAACTTGGAATTTTCAATCGTCACAATATTAAATAAAATCTTTACAAATGCATTTGATGGTAGAAATTTAATGCAGCTAGAAATGTACTGTTTTCTAATCTAGAACAATTTCTGATTTGGAATTTGTAATCCTCCCAATATTAATTACAATCTTTACAAATGCATTTGACGGTAGAACCATTTTTAAAAATGCCATGCAAGTGCTGTATGCAGTATTAGAACAATAAGTAAGATTTTTGAGCCAATTAAATAGTGTTGCTTAGCAACTTTCTTTTTTACACAAATTGTTCAGAATATTTCAGTGACTATTGAGGGTTTGTGTCTTTAATATATAAATAATGGTATAGCTAAGAGTGATGTAATAAGAAATAATGTGTGTTATCGAAAAGAATAGAAAAAAGAAAAGCTACCTTCCATTACTGATTTCTTTTCAGAATTTTAAAAAGCAAAATTTATATACATACATGCAAAAAAAAAAACAACAAATAATATAATCAAGTCATTTGTCACAATTCACAAAGATAAGGAGCCATTCCCAGCCATTTATATGCATGCATTAAGTGTATAGCAAAAATTGACACGCAATCCCACACCCATTATCGTTTGCTAAATGCTCCTGATTTATTGCTATTTTCTTTTTAGAAATTCCTTGCCATTTGACCTGCATTGTCTCACTGTTTGTTGCTTCTCTGCAAAGCAGGATAACTATAGAGGAAATCAGTAATGGAAATGACAGAGTGCAATTAAGAACAACACAATGCCCTTTCATTTCATAAGCCGTAAGGCTTTTATTTACACACATGTTTTCATAATGTATGTCACACTACATCCATATTCATACCCATTATTGTATACATAGATGCAATTTTGAAATCTACAAATAATTTATCTCAATAGTTATGAGCAATGTGTTTGCATAATGGTATAAATTGGACACTGTGATAACTACCCTAAAAACATTTTTGAACATTTCGGAAAAAGTACACGAGTTAGAGTTAGAGCTGTTAAGTACTCTGATGATTTGTAAAGCTCCACTGTTTCTCCAACTGATAAAAATGTCTATTTTCCACTGATCAGCAAACTTTCCAGGAAATCGTGTTGTGCTTATTTAGTTGCCTTCTATACATTTTGTGTTCAAGAACTTGGCTAATAATAGGCACAAAACCATAATCAGCTTAAATTGCATAAATATTTTAGCTTTATATAGTGCTACTGCAAAAATGGTTTGCATTACTCAGCCCAGTCTCTTAACAAATTTAAGTCTAGGCCTTGTCAGGACATGATCCGGTTTGGGGAGGGGGACAAACCGGATCACACAGGCAAGTCACACAAATATACCTCTATTCACACACGGGCATTCAGCACACTTTTACTTTCATACATAGTTACATAGCTAAAAAAAAAAGTGTCCACAAACAAGTAGTTAGAACAAAACACATATGATATACAGGAACAGTAGGTAGATAGGGCCCTGCCAAAACAAGTTTACAATATAATTTTATGCACTAACACTTGGAACTAATGCAACCCTGCTTTCACACATTGTACCCCCAATTTTTTATACACTCAGGGTTATTCACTAAACTCCAAATTGTT